ATGAATGAACAATAAATTTTATATACATATAATATTTTAATGTAATATTTTAGAGATATATCAATAAAAAAAATGTATAATTTAAAATTACAAATGACAACATTTGCCTTTTAAATATGTATATATTGAAATTCAAGACAATGTTTTTATTCTTACATTAAATGCGTATGCATCATGTAAATATCCATGTTTTCTTATATTTTATATTGTGTTTATAAAATTAGAAGTAATTTTTTTTTTATATAACATATAACTAATAATATATTTTTTAATATATAAGATGACATGATATACTTTAAAATATATTAGTACATATCTTTCAAAGAATTATTAGTTTATAAGTTCATCCTTATTCACATTATAAAGGAGAATATGATAATGCTTTATACAAATTTCAAGAATTTTGTATCATATATTTAAAAAATATATAACATATTCTTAAGATTCACTCGAAAATTGAGAAAGTACAATATGATTATCATCTCACGTGAGGAAAAAATAAGTAGTCTATCATTTAGTTTAACTATACATAAAGATATTAATTTATAACACTAAATATCATGATCAATATTTAATTTCTCTAGGGGAAATAAAGGGGATGATAGTATATATAAATTATCAGTTTTCATGTGAACCATATATTTTTATTTATATTAATGCATTTATTGATGTGTAACGTAATAACAAGGTTATATAATTTTTTTTTTAATTTTCTTTTAATCGTACTGATTTATCTGAATAAAAACATATAAATTTCTTTACTAATGTAGTTTCATATTTAAATATCATTAGTTTTACTTTATTTGTTAATTATTATAAAAAAGGCTGATAAAAATATTTGCATAACATGATATAATGACAAGACAAATTAATTTGATTATTCCATAAACATATTAAAATAAAACATTTATATTATTCATATTTATCTTTATAAATAATAATAAATATATCTTATTATCATAAATATTGAAAAAACAGTAATTGCATTTATGTACTCTTTTTTATACCTAATTATTATCTGAAAAAATTTGTTATAATTTCATAAATACAGTATTATATTTTTATATGTTATTATATATACGTAATATTTTAGTGAATATATAATAATATTTGTAATCGGAAATATATTATATTTATAATATTTAAGAATAGGAAATTTTTTCTTCTAAAAATAATCATCCTCACAAAAATACAAAAAATATATACCGAAATATATTGTGTCCATATATCACATATATATATGTTATATATGTACATAAGTCAAATTTTAAATCCTTTTGGTTAATCATCTCAGATAAAATATAAAAATTTTCTATTATAATGATTTACATTGTACTATATTATTTTAATACAACAATGCAATTATTAAATGACCTTTTATGATAATCCATTTTGTTCCATTATTACCTCTATACTACTATTATAATATATATATAAAAGTAGTATTTGCTCTAATCTATATAAACTTATCCTTTACAGCATATTCCACTAAATATTTACTTATGATATATATAACTACCTCTTTATTTATAATAAAATGTGATCAATTCAATAAATATTTTACATTGTATTTATTAAAGAAAAGTTACATAATCTGATATATAACAAATTTATGTAACAATATATAATAAAAGAACTATTCTGTTTGACAAAATACACAATATTATTATATTTATCTTATGTATTACAATTCAAGCTATTCACACACAAAAAATAAATAATTTTTTCACAGAACTATGAAATAATCTATTAATTCTGTTATATGAATAATCTCTATAGTTTCCTACATTACTTAATAAATTATATATTTTTTTCTTTATAATTATATTTCTTTATTTTAGTGCACTTATTTATTGGACTATGGAACCATTATATAAATGGTGTAAAATAAGATATTGTTATAACATAACAAATACTTTAATATATATGTGCATCCATAGTGATTTACAAATATATTTATTTAGAATTAATATAACAGTATTTTAACATATATATTTATTGCTATTTTATAATAACGCATACAGAAAAAAATAATAATTGAAAATATTCCAAGAAGAGTAAAAAACACTATAATATTAGTTGATCTGAAGAAGTAGAAGATACATATTCGCCAAATTGTTATGTTCTAGGATAATCAGAGCATATATATTTAGTAGTTCTTCTAGCACATGATGCGTATTCTAATTGCGAGGTTTTTAATTATTCCCATAAATCTTCTATATATTTATAGCATAATATGCTGTTTAAACATGTACCATATTAGATATACAGTCATCTTTTTTATTGTATAATTATTCATTTAAATATGAAAATTACAAAATTTTCCACTATTTGTACGAGTAATATATGCATTCTTGAAGTATGAATATGTATTTTTCCATAATTTTTTAATTATTCATAGGATGGATTAAATTCTTCTATTATTTCGTGAATATAGTTATCAAGTGAACCTTCAGCTTTTCCAAACATTAAAAAATATTGATATTTACCAATTTTGTGATAACATAATAAATTTTTAATGTATTATAACAAATGAAAATGTACTATATTAAACAAAACTATATTTGTGTGCTAAAAAAATAATGAAAAAATTAATAAAAAAATATATTTACAGCTGATTCCATTTTAAGGGGTATATTAGGCATAAATAAATATAAATATTTCAATGTATTAAATTTATATTTACTTGAATAAAGTTTTATATCAAATTTATTTTTTAAATTAAAATATATTATTATACAAATATTAACATATATAATACAACAGTAATATGATCAGTAAATGTAGGATATCATTTGCTATCATATATGAAATATATTTATTCTTTCATTATATAATGCAGCTAATACATGTATTTTAATTTTTCTTCATTAATACATAAGATATATGTATTATAACAATTTTTTTCGTTCTAGAATATAAGTAGGAATTAAGAGGATATTAAATTATTTTTATTTATTATATACATTATATAGTTGACCAAAGGAAAGAAAAAAAAAGGAGTAATATTACTAAAAATTATATACTATGTCACTTAAATTATTATATTCATTATATTAAAATTACATTTTTTCATAAATCACCTATTTATATTTATATTTTTTCAATAACAATTAATATATTACCCTCCGTTATTAACTATTCATTTGTGTAGTTATAATAATTTTTTTTTTTTATCTATTAATATATATATATATATATGTATATATAAACATTTAATAATTATAAAAATCAATGGAGAAAATAATAAAAATTAATTAAATTCTCAATTTTAGAAAATGTCAGAAAACATAAATTAGTGTTTCTATTTGTATAGAAGTAATGGTTTAGTTTGGTGTAATTATAAAAAATATATTATATACATGGTAACTCGTTGAAATAAGCATGCAATATTTTAAACGTTAGTAATATATGTTGCAATTCATGCAACGGGTATTTTTTCTATTTCATATTTTAAAATTTCTCTATGTATACTCAAATTAAGGAATGCATTATACACAAAATCAAAATATATTTTTATAATTAATAAAAACTTAGTTATAACAAAAATATTATATATATTTTTTCCATATAAATATAATTATTATAGGTATTAATTTTATAAATTTATATTATTAGTGCACAATGAATTTTATTGTATTATTGATGATTTCTAATGAGCAATGTATTATTACTTTATTTCTAGTGCAATACATATAAATAATAGTTATTGATGATAGTGAGAATTGAAATAAATTTCTTTACTTTCATATTGTTATTGCATATGAGTAAGTAGAAGTTATAATATTTACAATTTTATTATTTATTATTTTTTTTTTTTTTTTTTTGCATATCACAGCATTTCTATTAAATAAAAAACTATATAATTTATATATCTGATAATAGTATGCTACCATCTAGTATTTTTTATTTTAAAAATTTTATGGATATAGGTTATATATTATATTATATACATTATACACATTGAATCATAAAATAATATATTCATAAATATGGTTACAATATTATTACCTTATTTATTACCTTACCTATATCCTTGTATATTTAATTATTATTATATTTTTAAGAAAATTCAATCATTTATTTAAAATTTTGGTCGTCACATGAATGTAATACTTTTATAATATTATGTGCTAATTTGCTGTAAAAATTTTAAAAAATTAAAATAACTTTATTAATATAATTTTGTTTATCATAAAATAAAGAACTATATTTTTGATATATTTCAAAAGTAAATTATTTTTTTAAAACATCTACATCATTATTGCAATTAAATTCCAATAATAGATATTCTATAAAATAATATTTACATTTATTTTAATGGTTAACGAACCATTAATATAAGATGAATTTACAGTAATATATTTACTAAAAAAACTTGCATTGAATTATAGAAATAAATATTGATGTAATTATGACTGAAAATTTTAGTAATAATAATAATATATTATTATTTCCATAATTTAAAGTACTAATATAATATATTTATATTCAACAGTATTTATAGTGTCTATTTCACATTTATTAACAAATTCAGATTTTCATTGTATCTCACGTTATGTTATATTATTCAAATATATTTTAAGTGCATCATGTACATAATAATTAAACTATTTCTTATTTAACAGAAATATAATAAATGATTTTCAATATTATTTTAATTTATTTTGCTCTTTTATTATATACGCATATGATATAATATATAAAATAATTAATAATAAAAATTTTTATCACAATGAAATTCTCTTTTATTATTTATATTTACTAATTAGCACGTATTCCTTTTATTTTTGTTTTATATATTTTCTAAATATGATTTTTCTGTATTCATCATTTGTAGTGTTTATAATATATATCTAATAAAATTAGATTAGGAAAGCATGTACTCCATTATATCTATGGACCATGTTCTATGTTTAAATATTTTCGTTCCCTTGTAATATATTTATATATTGTGTGCATAATAATGTAACAATATACATTATATTATATTTTATGTTCTAACTGTATAATATACTGTATTTTCCAATGTTCGAAACCCTTCCATTATCCTCAGAAATATTCAGCGTTGAATTATTATTTTTATTGTACATATGTTTTCTATCTATTATTTTCCTTCGTATTGTAGTGCGTAATCTTGATCCAAAGGGTATATTCTAGTATAACAGTTTAAAATATTTTAATGTATTTTAAAATGTAACATGATATATTAATATTTTTTATATATCATATAATATATTTATAATCATAGTATAATTTTTTTTTTTACCATATAAGTATAAAAAAATATTAATAACATAGCGAACATTGATATCACTATATATATTATCAATTTTTTCATGTCAATTGTTATTTCTGAAAAATAAGTTGAATTTTCTAGAGTACTTCCTTCAACTGACGTTCCAGATAACATGGAATCTATGTATACGCTTTGTTCTCCTGAACTATTAAATATTCCTGTAACGCCAACTGTATCCGTTAACTTTTTTAAATGTTCCTTATCGCATTTTTCTGAACGATGGGACACAGAGAAATGTGAAGCAAGCTCATTTTTAAAATCCTCTAAAGCCTTGCAAAGATTAGTACTTTTATTATTACACATAACTTTAAGTTTGCTATAGTTACTAATGCACTCATTAATACAATCTAAACAAGTTTTAGTATCATCAGTTATATCAGAAAACAAATAACTATAAATTCTCTTATAATAATAATGTAAATAATACAATATCTTCATATTTTCAAATTCATTTTTATCCATATAAGATACAGAACATTGTGACAAAAGATTTCTGTTAAAATCACTAAAAGAAACTTGAAATTTTTCATAAAATTCCTGCACACAAGAATCACAAGCATTATGGTTTTCTCTTATATTATAATTTAACCAGTAGTTTAAAAATACACAATCGATTGCATAATTAGGCTTTTCTGTAATATATGTATACTTAACAGACGGCATTTGATTTACGAGTATAAAAAAATGTTTACAAATTTTTTCTTCTAAATGACGACCTAAAGAATTGTGTATTAAAATGGATTTACAATTTTCAGTAACGTTTTGCTCAGTAAATCGTTTTTCAGAAGCACCCTGAGGCAATCTATTTCCTGAAACACCTACATAAAAAGTATCACTTCTAGGAACACCTATTTCAATGAGACGTTGATCAAGGTCTTTGGATGCTTCCATATATATATCAAATTTTTTAAAAAATTCATACTAAAAATAAAAATGTAATTTTACATTTATAAGTAAATAATAATAATTTTTGTAATAAAGAACATTCAAAATAATGAATAATATAACACTTCAGTAGTGTGTAACATATGATTATTTAGAAATAAATAAAAATATTTACTCACCTCGTTTGGAGGTGATTGAGAATCCATCTTGTATTATGTATCTTTTTAAAAAAAATGTTAATATGTATAATAGTAAAAAAAAATTATTTACAATATTAAAACGCTGAAAAAAATTAATATATTATTTATTCTGTCTAATTGGATTATATAGTTCTTCTTTTTATAAGCAATATAATTTGAATTAAGACGGAATAATCATTTGCCAAAATAATCACTTTAAAGTATATACAACATATCATACGAAAAAATGCTAATAAATCATGCACACTTTAATAATTCATTTAAAAATTAATATTCAATGATAAAATTCTAATTGCTATTGTTTATCTACTTTTCGTTATGTTTTAAGAATAAACAAATAAAAAATATAAAATTAAACAAACACATAAAATAAGAAGTTTTAATAGGAAATATACACTATCTTATCCTTTATTTATGTAGAAAAACTGTAAAAATTATCATTCTATTGCAATAAAAAATATTTTTCAATTAATATTTACAATACATAAAAGTTATTTTTCCTAGGATTTAAAGCCCTTTTATATTACGTAAAAAAAATATAGTTTATAATACTAAAATAATATTATGCTACAAAATTAATATACATAAAATAATAAAAAATAATGATACAGTTATCATAATTTAAAATATTTCTTACTGAGGATATTATAATTTTTAGTAATAGCTTTAAATAGGTACATGTTTTTTAATAATTATCGTTGATTTTAAATTATTAGAAAATATAGTACCTATTTTTCAATATTAAAAAATATGCTCATAAAATCCAATTTTTTCGTTTTTTCCACAAATTTATTGTTATAAATACAATGTGCTGTAAATAAAAAAAATTATAATAAATTATGTACTCTTATATTATAATTAATGAAATATAAACATTTTATTTTGTTCAAAGAATATTAATTGTATTAAAATAATACAATTGCGTTATAATATGAATTGAGTAAGATGATTCCACGTGTTCTTTTTTAATAAAATAAATGAATAAAAAAAAAAGCAATTATTCACGCTCACATACTTGGTTTTTTGATTTATAATATTATTTTATGTAAGAATACATAAGAACTAAATGACGTTATCCAAATATGCATTCTTGAGTTACAAAAATAATTTTATTCATATTAACTTTGTAATACAAATGAATTAAAAGGTAGAATGTAAATTGTATTCAGCTATGTTATTGTTATTAGAAATATATATATGTGCATCCTAAAACAAAAATGTCAATATAGATTCCATTTAAAACCAAAAAAAAAATTTCTTTTACCTATTTCTTTTAAAGCACATAATAACAAGTAATTTGAGTTTTTATTCAATTCTCAGTGTTTCTTATAATTAAAAATAGTCTTAACTATTTGTTTATTTTAATATAACATATATTTAATATTACAATGAAATTATTAATGCATTTAATTATGAATTTAATTGTTATATATTGAGAAAAAAAAGTTATTATTATATTTTGCTTTTTGTAATAAGGAAGAGAAATGGACAAACTTACATAGAAATTATATATCCAATAACATGGATAAAATTGTTTTTTGCATAAATATAGTGCATAAAGAATGTATATCATATTATATATGATTTTTTTATATCGTTTTACTTTAATGATATCCTTATTTTAATAATTCCAAATATTTATTTTTGCAATAAAGATAAAGTACTTAATGCTTTTATAAGACACATAGATAACCACATTTTCATTGCAATTATTAAAATGAAACATAAGTACAAAATTTTTATAAATTTCATAAATTGTAATTATATGCTGCTGAATTATATATTTTATAAAAGTGATAATACAATCATATAGATATATATTATATATACTTTAATATTTGAAATTTAATTTTGAATGAAAAAAATAAGACATTTTCACATTTATAACACGAATAACCACTATTGAGAGCATTTCTTCATTATAAGATATTATTGAATATTTATAATATTATATTTACATGTTTCAATTTCTATATTTCAAAGTACATTAAAATAATAAAGAAAAGCTAAAATATTTATTTCTTCGAAATAGATTGAGTTATGAACTATATAAATAATAAAAGGAGTAGACATATGTTGATAATTTTCTTTAGTTATGTAATACTATATAATGTAACTGAACAAATATATATTAAAAAGCACTTTTATAAAATATTTTTTTAAAAGCTATAAAAATTAGTTCTTTAATGCTTTATTATAGAAAAATATTATAATTAAACAACATTTAATATCGTATCATTAGCATAATGTATACAATTCTATATATATATATATATCAGAAACTATAACGTCTTGTTTATTAATTCGAAAGATCAATATGGTTTTATATGTATATTCATTTAAAAAGAATATTTCCAATTTTTTGAATATTGCATTGTATATATATTATATACATATGCTTAGAAATATATATATTGACAATTTTTATTAAAGCGTTCTAAATAAATATAAAATTATGGAATATAAAATGAATTATTCTCCTATTTTTTTTCACAATTTTATAAATGTAAGCATAACGTAAATAGATTCTTAAATCTACGTTTCTAATAACATGGTACTCATAATATTTCTTTAAAATAATATTATTCAATTACCTGTACAGATATATCTAATATAAATATGAATGCTATTTTTGATCAAAATGGAAATAAAAGTAATATTTTTAAACATTAAAAATAGAAATATATTATTTTTTCCTTTTTATGTAAGTAATTAATAAACTGCTATTATGGTGAATTGTATATATAATAAAAATAGACGTGACATTATATATGTTGAATGTAACAAATTAATATATACGTATCTGATATTTTCTTGCCTATGGTGTACTAGGATAACCTATATGCTAAAAAAAATCTAAGGTAATAACTCTTTTTCAAATATTTCATATTTATTCAATATATATATTTATCTTAAAACAGAAGAAAATATAATCTCAAAAAAATAATAAACATAAAATAACAAAGAATAGTTCTAACAAAATAATATATACAAGAAAATGAATAAAGCAATAGGATTAAATGAAGTTCATTATGTGACTAATATTTTCCTTTATTTTTGTTTATCTATAATAATATTATATATGAATATGAGATATGCTTTGCTTACATTATAATAATCTAGATTCACAAAAACTTAAATTTAATGTAATATTATAGGTGTAAATATTATACAGATTAATACATTATATTTAATCTTTTTCAGTGTGTTCTAATGTTTTCATATATTGAATCACTATATCTCAATTAATTTGGAAATACATGACGATTTTTATTATAATCATTTCTCCTACTTGATAATCTACATATTCATATATCAAAAGGCGTAAACTGATTTAAAAGTGGGATATGCGAAACTGTACATTTTATTAGCACTGTATGTATATGTTTAAAGAATAAATTATTTGATTATATCTTAATATTTTTTCTGTTTCTTATATAATATGCCATTACTTTATAAAAAATTGAAAATATCAATAATTAAGTTGAGTGCAAAAATGTTTACATGAAATAGCTGAGTATTTATACAATCATGGCTATATAATAATGCAAAAAAAAAAAAAGGCATCCTCATTTATTCCACAAATATAATGGTATTAATATAATGAAACACTTACAAAACATATTAAAATATTAATTTCAAAGAAGGTGTAATTATTATATAAATATAGACAAATATATTTTATATTTGTAAAGCATTCATTTCACTTGTAGATTGAAATGGAATAAAATTTACATTTTTATAAATCCTTAAATGTTGAAATTCTGTACGAATAGGACTAGGACAACATATCACGTTAAAGGTATAATGATATATCCAAATAAACTATATGCATATAACAGCAAAATAAATATTATTAATATATAAAATTCAATTATATCAAAATGCGCATAAAAAATATACCGTAATTATGAACATTCGTAAATTATGAAAATATAAATTAGGACATAAAAATATAAATTTGACATGTATAAATTACTTTAGAATATGACCCTTGACAAACGATAATATTCTTTTGCATTCATTATTATTATTAAAAAAAAATGAATGAATTTATGATGTCTTGAGAAAACATTTAAAATTTTTATTAATTATATATAATAATATATATTTTTTTCAGAATAGAATAATAATATAATTATGTACATAAATATATTTTTTTTAATATATATTATTATTTTTGTGTTTATTCTTCTCCATTATGGAATTTTCTGGTATTCTTAATTCTTCCAATATGTATTTCTTATAATCCAATGATTTTTGTAATAAAGATTATATCTATTAACATTTTAAGAAAATTTATGGATGCTCATATATTTTTTCTTACACAGACTTAATAACCTAAAAATAAAGTAAATATATTTTTCTTATAATAATACTGATTATATTAATATCGTTTTTTTTTTATTTGGTACTTTGTGTGCACAGGAATATATAAATTAGGGAAATATTAGCTATATTATTTTTTGAATATATGACAACTATTTTTATATTACGATATAACAAAATTATTAAGAATTATAAAATAATTTATATCATAATTAAAATTTATTTGTATATTTCCATAGAACGTCAATGCAATTATTCTCTTATTTAATTAATTTAATATCTTCCGCTTATATATGTGTATATATATTTCATATTATTAGTAGTATATTATATTTATATTGACAAAACACATACTCATATAATATATTATATTTTAAATTGGTTAAATATATTTTAATTGGGTGAAATAATCAAATATTTAACAGATATATATTTATACGTTTTAACATACTTTTCATCATTAGAGCATAAATACAAATATGAACATATTTTTTACTAATTTTAACATATTTTGTTCATATTATAAATATATATTTAGATATATGTTTATAAAAAAATATAAATATTTTTTATTCTTCTTGCACAGTAGATGATGCATTATTCGTCATATATGGATATATTTTTTATTCAGTATATATCATCATAATAATTTATAAAAAATTTATTATTTATGATAT